CGGTCTTCAGAAGAGGGAAAAAATCAGGTTGAAATTGGGTCTTATGAAAAGGGATAATTTAGGTGTGACATTTCGGTCTTTTAGAAGAGGGGAATTTAGGGTGTGTCCCTGCGGGGGCCCTTTAGAAGAGGGAAAATCAGGTGGGGACATGCGGTCTTTTAGAAGGGGATATTTAAAGTGTGACATGCGGTATTCAGAAGGGGGATTTAAACAAGGGGGTGAAGGCGGTTTCAAGGAAAAGGGGTAACAGGTTTTTGACAAAGCGGGTCTTCAGAAGAGGGATAATTTAGGTGTGACCCTCGGTCTTTCAGGAGAGGGGGTAATCAGGTTGTGAATGCGGGGTTTTTAGAAAAAAAGGGATAAAAAGGTGTGGGCAGGCGGTCTTCCCAAAAAGGGGATTTAAACAGGTGTGACATTTCGGTCCCTTTAGAAGAGGGATTAAAAAGGTTTTGAAATGCGGTTTTCGAAGGGGATAATTTAGGGGTGAATGCGGGTTTTTCAAGAAGCGGGATAGTCAGGATGTGTGACAGGGCGAGCGTGCTTCAGAATGAGGGAGTAATAGGAGTGACATGCTGGTGTCTTCAGAGGGGGATAATACAGGGTGTGACTTGCGGTCTTCGAGGGATAATCAGGTTGTTGAACATTGCTGTAGTGTCTTCAGAAGAGGGATAATCAGGTGTCGACAGTTGGCGTCTTCAGAAGGAGGGGATAGGTGTGCAGGTTTGTGACTTGCTGGTCTGCAGAAAAGGGATAATCAGGTGTGGCACATGCGGGTTCTTCAGAAGATGGGATATATCAGGGTAGGTTGTGACATGCGGGGGTTCGTTCAGAACAGGAGCTAATCAGGGTGTGACTTGCCGGAGTCCTTCAGAACGAGAAGAGGGATAAGTAATCAGGTGTTTGGCTAGTGGCTGCTGGTCTTCAGAAAACGTGGGATAAGTCAGGTTGGTGTGACAGGCGTCAGTTGTCTATTCAGAAGAAGAGGGATTAAAAAATCAGGTTGGTGACATGACGGGGGCTCTTCAGAACAGGGATGGATATAGGTGGTTGTGACAGGCGGCGGGTCCTTCAGTAAGAGGGATAATCTCAGGTGTGTGACCATGCGGTCTTCAGAAGGGGGTAATTCAGGTCGGTGACAGGCGGAGTCTTCAGAAGAGTGGGATAATCAGGAGTGGAGCAGGCGGGGAGCGGTTTCGCGAGAAGAGGGATATATGTGGGAAAGTGTCAGGATGCGTCTTCAGAGGGGGGGAAAGTGTCAGGATGTGACATGCGGTCTGCAGAAGAGGGATGATCAGTGTCGGTACAGTGACGAGGGCGGTGAAAGTGTCCGGACTCGGAGAGGGGGGATTGATCAGCGTTGTGAAGGCCGTTTGGAAGCTTCAGTAGAAGGGGGGGGGAAGAAAGTGTACGCGATGGAAGGGGGGGGGGAAGTGTCCGGGACTGGAAGGGGGGCAGGAAAGAAGGGGGGAAAGATGTACGGACTGGAAGGGGGGGGGAAAAAGAAGTTGTGTCGGTGACTGGAAGGGAGGGGGGTGAAGGGAAGGGGTCCTGCATGGAACGGTTGGGTGGGAAAAGTGGTCCGGGACTGGAAAGGAACGTGGAGGGGAGGGAAAGGTGTGGGTGGGGGGGTCGGAGGGGGAAGTGGTGAAGGAGGGATGCCGGGACTGGGAGGGGGAAGTTGGGCTATGGAGGGGGGGAAGACTGGCCGAAGAGGTTGTGGAAAAATGGAGTGCGAGTGTACACGTACGGGAAGTGATGAAGTAGTTTAGGGAAGAGATCGTTACTTGGTCCGGACTGGGCGGCGAGGGGGGGGGATGTAAGTCCGGACTGGCCTAAGGGAGGGGGGAGTGCTGTTCCGGACTTGAGTAAGGGGTGGGGAGGAAAGCTGTAACTCGTACTGGAAGGGGGGGGGAGGTGTCCGAGGTCGGGGAAGGGGGGTGGGTGAAAGTCTGTCCGGTCTGCGTAGGGGGGGAAGTAAAGTTGTTCCTGGGAACTGGGAAGGGGGGGGGAAGTGTCGGTACGTGGAAGGGGGGGGGGAAAGGGTGTCGGAACTGGATGTTGTCCGGAAGCTGGGGGGGAGGGGAAAGTAGTATACGGTCTGGAAGTGGACTCGGGTATTGGTGTCCAAGAAAAGCTAAGAAAGGAATAACCGCCGGCAGTGATTATCACGATCGATGCTGAGTAAACAGCTTTTGTGGATTATAGAGTGAAACTGGAGCTTTATGATGGACACCCTCAGAAAACCATTGGGGATCTATGGTAGTAGAATGAGGGTGATGGGTAGGAAAAATTGTATATTTTTAAAACGCCATCCGCGTGTTATTTTGGTTAATTGGTTTTGGAATAAATCTACACCTATAAGGGATGTTCAAATGGGAACATAGGACTAGGGAGTGTCCCACTGTCCCTCTTTATTTATGATTGTATGTGTTAACATTGGAACCCCCTACTGGAAACAATTTAGAAGGAACTGTAGTTTATATTGTATAGGGAATACAAACTAGGGGAAGCGGAACCATGTAAGGTAGTGCAAGCCTTTGCCGGAACGCAGCTCGAACGATCTGGTTGGTTTTATGTGTCGGTTAATCCTAGGATATTCACTCCCGAACTTAATAAAAAGCTGTAATAAGAATATGGAGTATATAATTCATAAAACTCTAGAATATCAACCGAACAAAAACCGAAGATCTTGATTTTAAATCTACGGAATAGTGAGAAAGAAGAGATAATAAAGTGAATTCGACTTTTACATGGAGAGATAGAGAGATAAAATATTTAGAAGTTTATCTTACTGCTTCATATTCAAAAATTGTGATAAATTAAATTATGATTTCCCTTTTTAAACGAGTATTAAGGAGGATTTTGAAGATAATTGGGAGCCCCAGATTATCCTTCACTGCGCCCGTTAGGACGAATAGAATCTTGATGTTAAAAATGTTTTATTGTGATACGTCAGGAGTTCTTGTATCTGATGTATATCAAAATGAATGTATCCCAATAAAACTTCCAGAAAGCATTTTTTGAAAGAAATGTAAAAAGATTGATAACAGAATAATTTATATGGAAAAAGTAATAAATTCTAGATTATCGTTTTTTATGACTTGATAAAAGTAGACGAGAAAGATAGAGAGGGGGACCTGGTGCAGTTGCCGGACTTTAAGAAAGATACTATAATGCTTGTGTAATTTTACACAGAATTTATGATTGGACACAACAATAATAAGGGGGGGGAAAAGATGGGGTGATGATAGAGAATGATGCTGAGCCAGAGTTGACCTGAAGTAGCAAACATATTGGGGCAGCCAGCACAATATAGAGGTTTTGTAGAGGAAACCTTCGAGTGTGGTTCACATGTGAATGTTATGAAGAGGTCTTGGGATAATTTTACACACGTATATAGCACTGGGAATTCGTTAGAATTATCACAATTTAATGCCACTAATGGAATATGGAGTATTTTCTACAAGGCTATTTGTGCGGAGTATTGAATGGCTAAAATTGGATCTCAAAAAGGAAGACATTCAACTAAGGGGATATTACTGGAACGGAAAGAAGTTGCAAAGCATGTGAAAGTTTTAAAAAAAAGGTGGAAGGAGGAATCCTTTTTACTAAGATTGATGGAGTGGAAAATATCACCAATTTAAATCACTTTGTTGAGGGTCTTTCCGAAAAACCCTAAGAGGCGGAGAGGTGGGTGTGGAACTTGTTTGAGGAGGTTTGTTGGAAATCACGGAGGAGATGGGAGAAAAGCGGGGGCACGGCGAAAAAATTTATAAAATTTCTCACCGAAATAGCACTGGAATTTTAGAACCAAGTTAGTTATGATAGTCAGAAGTGAGTGTGGAAGAGAGAGTTTGGATGTAGTGGAGATAGATGAAGATAAACAGAGGGAAGTTATATAGACCTCACACACGAGAATAATTAGTATGAGGAGGAGGTTGGAGGTAAAATTATGAGAGTTTTAGTAAGATTGGTCTAGCATTCAACACCAATTATGGAGTACAAAAGATGTGTGGTGTGGTTATAGCTAGACGCGAACACAAGTCGGTGTTGGCAGTGGTTGTGTGATGAGATGGTGTATGTGAGATTTCACATTGGTAGGGTAGTAGGAGTTGCCCAAGAAGATACAAAATTGTTTTGAGTTGAGACACTCCGTAAACGTTATTGAGATAAATCTCAGGATATAAAGATTTGGTTTTAGGACCTCACAAGGTGTCGGTATGACCATTAAGTAACAGTGCCTTGTGACCATGTGATAGTAAATATTAGAAATTTGGGGTGATACTGCGTACTTTGTAATGTGCAGCGAAGGGTTTTGATTACCTAAGGCTTCTGGGTCATAGCTTTGAGGTGTTCACGAAAGAGAAGGATTTGGGTGAGGAGTAGAAGTTAATTCAGATTAGTAGAATTATAAATATAAAAATTTAATAAATATTTGGAATTAAGAAAAAAAAATGTGCAGTAGGGGGGTGGAATGAAAGTGTCCGGACTGGAAGGGGGTGAAAGTGTCCGGACTGAAGGGGGTGATGAAAGTGTCCGGACTGGAAGGGGGAAAGGGGGACTGGGGGGGGAGTGTCCGGACTGGAAGGGGGGGGGGAAAGTGTCGGACTGGAAGGGGGTGAAAGTGTCCGGACTGGAAGGGGGGGAAAGTGTCCGGACTGGAAGGGGGGGGGGGAAAGTGTCCGGACTGGAAGGGGGGGGGGGAAAGTGTCCGGACTGGAAGGGGGGGGGGAAAGTGTCCGGACTGGGAAGGGGGGGGAAAGTGTCCGGACTGGAAGGGGGGGGAAAGTGTCCGGACTGGAAGGGGGGGGAAAGTGTCCGGGGAAAGTGTCCGGACTGGAAGGGGGGGGGAAGTGTCCGGACTGGAAGGGGGGGGGAAAGTGTCCGGACTGGAAGGGGGGGAAAGTGTCCGGACTGGAAGGGGGGGGGGAAAGTGTCCGGACTGGAAGGGGGGGGGAAAGTGTCCGGACTGGAAGGGGGGAAAGTGTCGGGACTGGAAGGGGGGGTGAAAGTGTCCGGACTGGAAGGGGGGGTGTCCGGAATGGAAAGAAAGTGTCCGGACTGGAAGGGGGGGAAGTGGGGGGGAAAGTGTCCGGACTGGAAAGGGGGGGGGGGAAAGTGTCCGGACTGGAAGGGGGGGGGGAAAGTGTCCGGACTGGAAGGGGGGAAAGTGTCCGGACTGGGAAGGGGGGGAAAGTGTCCGGACTGGAAGGGGGGGGGGGGGGAAAGTGTCCGGACTGGAAGGGGGGGGGAAAGTGTCCGGACTGGAAGGGGGGGGGGGAAAGTGTCGGACTGGAAGGGGGGGGGGAAAGTGTCCGGACTGGAAGGGGGGGGGAAAGTGTCCGGACTGGAAGGGGGGGGGGAAAGTGTCCGGACTGGAAGGGGGGTGAAAGTGTCCGGACTGGAAGGGGGGGGGGGAAAGTGTCCGGACTGGAAGGGGGTGAAAGTGTCCGGACTGGGGGGGGGGAAAGTGTCCGGACTGGAAGGGGGGGGGGAAAGTGTCCGGACTGGAGGGGGGGGGGGAAAGTGTCCGGACTGGGGGGGGGGGGGGGAAAGTGTCCGGACTGGGAAGGGGGGGGAAAGTGTCCGGACTGGAAGGGGGGAAAGTGTCCGGACTGGAAGGGGGGGAAAGTGTCCGGACTGGAAAGGGGGTGAAAGTGTCCGGACTGGAAGGGGGGAAAGTGTCCGGACTGGAAAGGGGGGAAAGTGTCCGGACTGGAAGGGGGGGGAAAGTGTCCGGACTGGAAGGGGGGGGGGGGGAAAGTGTCCGGACTGGAAGGGGGGGGGAAAGTGTCCGGACTGGGAAGGGGGGGGGGGGGAAAGTGTCCGGACTGGAAGGGGGGGGGAAAGTGTCCGGACTGGAAGGGGGGGAAAGTGTCCGGACTGGAAGGGGGGGAAAAGTGTCCGGACTGGAAGGGGGGGAAAGTGTCCGGACTGGAAGGGGGGGAAAGTGTCCGGGACTGGAAGGGGGGGGGGAAAGTGGGACTGGAAGGGGGGGATGAAAGTGTCCGGACTGGGGGGGGGGGAAAGTGTCCGGACTGGAAGGGGGGGAAAGTGTCCGGTGTCCGGACTGGAAGGGGGGAAAGTGTCCGGACTGGAGGGGGGGGAAAGTGTCCGGACTGGAAGGGGGGAAAGTGTCCGGACTGGAAGGGGGGGAAAGTGTCCGGACTGGAAGGGGGGGAAAAGTGTCCGGACTGGAAGGGGGGGGGGAAAGTGTCCTGGGACTGGAAGGGGGGGGGGAAAGTGTCCGGTGGGAAGGGGGGGAAGTGTCCGGACTGGAAGGGGGGGAAAGTGTCCGGACTGGAAGGGGGGGGTGAAAGTGTCGGACTGGAAGGGGGGGGGGGGAAAGTGTCCGGACTGGAAGGGGGGGGGGGAAGTGTCCGGACTGGAAGGGGGGGGGGAAAGTGTCCGGACTGGAAGGGGGGGGAATGAAAGTGTCCGGACTGGAAGGGGGGGGAAGGGGGAAAGTGTCCGGACTGGGGGGGGGGGAAAGTGTCCGGACTGGAGGGGGGGGGGAAAGTGTCCGGACTGGACTGGAAGGGGGGGAAAGTGTCCGGACTGGAAGGGGGGGGAAAGTGTCCGGACTGGAAAGGGGGGGAAAGTGTCCGGACTGGACTGGGGGGGGAAAGTGAAAGTGTCCGGACTGGAAGGGGGGGGGGAAAGTGTCCGGACTGGAAGGGGGAAAAGTGTCCGGAAAACTGGAAGGGGGTGAAAGTGTCCGGACTGGAAGGGGGGGGAAAGGGGAAAGTGTCCGGACTGGAAGGGGGGGAAGGGGGGGAAAGTGTCCGGACTGGAAGGGGGGGGGGGAAAGTGTCCGGACTGGGGGGGGGGGAAAGTGTCCGGACTGGAAGGGGGGGGGGGGGAAAGTGTCCGGACTGGAAGGGGGGGGTGGGAAAGTGTCCGGACTGGAAGGGGGGGAAAGTGTGTCCGGACTGGAAGGGGGGGGGGGAAAGTGTCCGGACTGGAAGGGGGGGGGAAAGTGTCCGGACTGGAAGGGGGGGAAAGTGTCGGGACTGGAAGTGTCCGGACTGGGGGGGGGAAAAAGTGTCCGGACTGGAAGGGGGGGGGGGGGGAAAGTGTCCGGACTGGAAGGGGGGGGAAAGTGTCGGGACTGGAAGGGGGGGAAAGTGTCCGGACTGGAAGGGGGGGGAAAGTGTCCGGACTGGAAGGGGGGGAAAGTGTCCGGACTGGAAGGGGGGAAAGAAAGTCCGGACTGGGGGGGGGGGGGGGAAAGTGTCCGGACTGGAAGGGGGGGGGAAAGTGTCCGGACTGGAAAGGGGGGGGAAAGTGTCCGGACTGGAAGGAAGGGGGGGAAAGTGTCCGGACTGGAAGGGGGGGGGGAAAGGGACTGGAAGGGGGGGAAAGTGTCCGGACTGGAAGGGGGGGGGGAAAAAGTGTCCGGACTGGAAGGGGGGGGAAAGTGTCCGGACTGGACTGGGGGGGGGGGGGAAAGTGTCCGGACTGGAAGGGGGGGAAAGTGTCCGGACTGGACTGGGGGGGGAAAGTGGGACTGGAAGGGGGGGACTGTCCGGACTGGGGGGGGGAAAGTGTCCGGACTGGAGGGGGGGGAAAGTGTCCGGACTGGAAGGGGGGGAAAGTGTCCGGACTGGAAGGGGGGGGGAAGTGGGGGACTGGGGGGGAAAGTGTCCGGACTGGAAGGGGGGGGAAAGTGTCCGGACTGGAAGGGGGGGAAAGTGTCCGGACTGGAAGGGGGGGGGGAAAAGTGTCCGGACTGGAAGGGGGGGGGAAAGTGTCCGGACTGGAAGGGGGGGAAAGTGTCCGGACTGGAAAGGGGGGGAAAGTGTCCGGACTGGAAGGGGGGGGAAAGTGTCCGGACTGGAAGGGGGGGGAAAGTGTCCGGACTGGAAGGGGGGGGGAAAGTGTCCGGACTGGAAGGGGGGGGGGAAAGTGTCCGGACTGGGGGGGGGGGGAAAGTGTCCGGACTGGAAGGGGGGGGAAAGTGTCCGGACTGGAAGGGGGGGGGGAAAGTGTCCGGACTGGAAGGGGGGGGAAAGGGGGGGAAGGGGGGAAAGTGGACTGGAGGGGGGGGGGGGGGAAAGTGTCCGGACTGGAAGGGGGGAAAGGGGACTGGAAGGGGGGGAAAGTGTCCGGACTGGAAGGGGGGGGGGGAAAGTGTCCGGACTGGAAGAAGGGGGGAAAGTGTCCGGACTGGAAGGGGGGGGGAAAAAGTGTCCGGACTGGAAGGGGGGGGAAGGGGAAAGTGGGGACTGGAAGGGGGGGGGGGGAAAGTGTCCGGGGAAGTGGAAGGGGGGGAAGGGGGGGAAAGTGTGTCCGGATGGGGGGGGGGGGGAAAAGTGTCCGGACTGGAAAGGGGGGGGAAAGTGTCCGGACTGGAAGGGGGGGGGAAAAGTGTCCGGACTGGGGGGGGGAAAGTGTCCGGACTGGAGGGGGGGGAAAGTGTCCGGACTGGAAGGGGGGGGGAAAGTGTCCGGACTGGAAGGGATGGAAAGTGTCCGGACTGGAAGGGGGGGAAAAGTGTCCGGACTGGAAGGGGGGGAAAGTGTCCGGACTGGAAGGGGGGGGGAAAGTGTCCGGACTGGAAGGGGGGGGGAAAGTGTCCGGACTGGAAGGGGGGGGGGAAAGTGTCCGGACTGGAAGGGGGGGAAAGTGTCCGGACTGGAAGGGGGGGGGGAAAAAGTGTCCGGACTGGAAAGGGGGGGGGAAAGTGTCCGGACTGGAAGGGGGGGGGGGGGAAAGTGTCCGGACTGGAAGGGGGGGGGAAAGTGTCCGGACTGGAAGTGGGGGGGGGAAAAGTGTCCTGGACTGGGGGGGGGAAAGTGTCCGGACTGGAAAGGGGGGAAAGTGTCCGGACTGGAAGGGGGGGAAAGTGTCCGGACTGGAAGGGGGGGGGAAAGTGTCCGGACTGGAAGGGGGGGGGGAAAGTGTCCGGACTGGAAGGGGGGGGGAAAGTGTCCGGACTGGAAGGGGGGGGAAAGTGTCCGGACTGGAAGGGGGGGGAAAGTGTCCGGACTGGAAGGGGGGGGAAAAGTGTCCGGACTGGAAGGGGGGGAAAGTGTCCGGACTGGAAGGGGGGGGAAAGTGTCCGGACTGGAAGGGGGGAAGGGGGGGAAAGTGTCCGGACTGGAAGGGGGGGGAAAGTGTCCGGACTGGAAGGGGGGGGGGAAAGTGTCCGGACTGGAAGGGGGGGGGGGGAAAGTGTCCGGACTGGACTGGAAGGGGGTGAAAGTGTCCGGACTGGAAGGGGGGGGGGAAAGTGTCCGGACTGGAAGGGGGGGAAAGTGTCCGGACTGGAAGGGGGGGGGAAAGTGTCGGGACTGGAAGGGGGGGGGAAAGTGTCCTGGACTGGAGGGGGGGGGAGGGGGGGAAAGTGTCCGGACTGGAAGGGGGGGGGGGAAAGTGTCCGGACTGGAAGGGGGGTGAAAGTGTCCGGACTGGAAGGGGGGGGGGAAAGTGTCCGGACTGGAAGGGGGGGGGAAAGTGAAAGTGTCCGGACTGGGAAGGGGGGGGAAAGTGTCCGGACTGGAAGGGGGGGGGGGAAAGTGTCCCGGACTGGAAGGGGGGGAAAGTGTCCGGACTGGAAGGGGGGGGGGGAAAGTGTCCGGACTGGAAGGGGGGGGGGGAAAGTGTCCGGACTGGAGGGGGGGGGGGGAAAGTGTCCGGACTGGAAGGGGGGGGGGGGAAAGTGGACTGGACTGGAAGGGGGGGGGAAAGTGTCCGGACTGGACTGGGGGGGGGGAAAGTGTCCGGACTGGAAGGGGGGGGAAAGTGTCCGGACTGGAAGGGGGGGAAAGTGTCCGGACTGGAAGGGGGGGGGGAAAGTGTCCGGACTGGAAGGGGGGGAAAGTGTCCGGACTGGAAGGGGGAAAGTGTCCGGACTGGAAGGGGGGGGAAAGTGTCCGGACTGGAAGGGGGGGGGAAAGTGTCCGGACTGGAAGGGGGGGGGGGAAAGTGTCCGGACTGGACTGGGGGGGGGGGAAAGTGTCCGGACTGGAAGGGGGGGGGAAAGTGTGTCCGGACTGGAAGGGGGGGAAAGTGTCCGGACTGGAAGGGGGGGGGAAAGTGTCCGGACTGGAAGGGGGGGGGAAAGTGTCCGGACTGGAAGGGGGGGGGGGAAAGTGTCCGGACTGGGGGGGGGGAAAGTGAAAGTGTCCGGACTGGAAGGGGGGGGGGGAAAGTGTCCGGACTGGAAGGGGGGGGGGAAAGTGTCCGGACTGGAAGGGGGGGAAAGTGTCCGGACTGGAAGGGGGGGAAAGTGTCCGGACTGGAAGGGGGGGAAAGAAAGTGTCCGGACTGGAAGGGGGGGGGAAAGTGTCGGACTGGAAGGGGGGGAAAGTGTCCGGACTGGAGGGGGGGGAAAGTGTCGGACTGGGGGGGGGGGGAAAGTGTCCGGACTGGAAGGGGGGGGGGAAAGTGTCCGGACTGGAAAGGGGGGAAAGTGTCCGGACTGGAAGGGGGGGAAAGTGTCCGGACTGGAAGGGGGGGAAAGTGTCCGGACTGGAAGGGGGGGAAAGTGTCCGGACTGGAAGGGGGGGGGGGAAAGTGTCCGGACTGGAAGGGGGGAAAGTGGGATTGGAAGGGGGGAAGGGGGGTGAAAGTGTCCGGACTGGACTGGGGGGGGGAAAGTGTCCGGACTGGGGGGGGGGGGTGGAAGTGTCCGGACTGGAAGGGGGGGAAGGGGGGGAAAGTGTCCGGACTGGAAGGGGGGGGAAAGTGTCCGGACTGGAGTGGGACTGGGGGGGGGGAAAGTGTCCGGACTGGAAGGGGGGGGGGAAAGTGTCCGGACTGGAAGGGGGGGGAAAGTGTCCGGACTGGAAGGGGGGGGGAAAGTGTCCGGACTGGAAGGGGGGGGAAAGTGTCCGGACTGGAAGGGGGGGGAAAGTGTCCGGACTGGAAGGGGGGGGAAAGTGTCCGGACTGGAAGGGGGGAAAGTGTCCTGGAAAGGGGGGGAAAGTGTCCGGACTGGAAGGGGGGGGAAAAAAGTGTCCGGACTGGAAGGGGGGGGGAAAGTGTCCGGACTGGAAGGGGGGGGGGGGGAAAGTGTCCGGACTGGAAGGGGGGGGGGGGGGAAAGTGTCCGGACTGGAAGGGGGGGAAAGTGTCCGGACTGGAAGGGGGGGGGGGGGAAAGTGTCCGGACTGGAAGGGGGGAAAGTGTCCGGACTGGAAGGGGGGGGAAAGTGTCCGGACTGAAGGGGGGGGGGAAAGTGTCCGGACTGGAAGGGGGGGGGGGGGGAAGGGGGGGAAAGTGTCCGGACTGGAGGGGGGGGGGAAAGTGGGAAAGGGGGGGGAAGTGTCCGGACTGGAAGGGGGGGGGGGAAAGTGTCCGGACTGGAAGGGGGGGGGGGGAAAGTGTCCGGACTGGAGGGGGGGGGGAAAGTGTCCGGACTGGAAGGGGGGGGAAAGTGTCCGGACTGGAAGGGGGGAAAGTGTCCGGACTGGAAGGGGGGGGGAAAGTGTCCGGACTGGAAGGGGGGGGAAAGTGTCCGGACTGGAAAGGGGGGGGGGGAAAGTGTCCGGACTGGAAGGGGGGGGGGAAAGTGTGTCCGGACTGGAAGGGGGGGGGGAAAGTGTCCGGACTGGAAGGGGGGGGGGGAAAGTGTCCGGACTGGAAGGGGGGGAAAGTGTCCGGACTGGAAGGGGGGGGGGGAAAGTGTCCGGACTGGAAGGGGGGGGGGAAAGTGTCCGGACTGGAAGGGGGGGGGAAAGTGTCCGGACTGGAAGGGGGGGGGGAAAGTGTCCGGACTGGAAGGGGGGGAAAGTGTCCGGACTGGAAGGGGGGGGGAAAGTGTCCGGACTGGAAGTGTCCGGACTGGGGGGGGGGAAAGTGTCCGGACTGGAAGGGGGGGGAAAGTGTCCGGACTGGAAGGGGGGGGAAAGTGTCCGGACTGGAAGGGGGGGGAAAGTGTCCGGACTGGAAGGGGGGGAAAGTGTCCGGACTGGAAGGGGGGGGGAAAGTGTCCGGACTGGAAGGGGGGGGAAAGTGTCCGGACTGGAAGGGGGGGGGGGGAAAGTGTCCGGACTGGAAGGGGGGGGGAAAGTGTCCGGACTGGAAGGGGGGGGGAAAGTGTCCGGGAAGGGGGAAGTGTCCGGACTGGAAGGGGGGAAGAAAGTGTCCCTGGACTGGAAGGGGGGGGGAAAAGTGTCCGGACTGGAAGGGGGGAAAGTGTCCGGACTGGAAGGGGGGGGGGGAAAGTGTGTCCGGACTGGAAGGGGGGAAAGTGTCCGGACTGGAAGGGGGGGAAAGTGTCCGGACTGGAAGGGGGGGAAAGTGTCCGGACTGGAAGGGGGGGGGGAAAGTGTCCGGGACTGGAAGGGGGGGAAAGTGTCCGGACTGGAAGGGGGGGGGGAAAGTGTCCGGACTGGAAGGGGGGGGGGAAAGTGTCCGGACTGGAAGGGGGGGAAAGTGTCCGGACTGGAAGGGGGGGGAAAGTGTCCGGACTGGAAGGGGGGGGGAAAGTGTCCGGACTGGAAGGGGGGGGAAAGTGTCCGGACTGGAAGGGGGGGGGGGGGGAAAGTGTCGGACTGGAAGGGGGGGTGAAAGTGTCCGGACTGGAAGGGGGGGAAAGTGTCCGGACTGGAAGGGGGGGAAAGTGTCCGGACTGGAAGGGGGGGCGGACTGGAAGGGGGGAAAGGAAAGTGTCCGG